CTCCTGTCACCTCCCCCGGGGCCACCCAGTCGGAGTCCAAACCCTCTCGGATCCGAGCGACTTTGTCATGCAGATACTGTGCAAACTCCTCAGCCTTCCCCGCCAGGTGGTCCCCCCCCCCCAATTGGAGAAGGGAGCGGGTCACCCTGAAGAGGGAGGCTGGGCGATTATCTGATGACGCAATGAGGGTGGAGTAGTAGTTTATTTATTAATAAATAAATAAATAAATAACTCACTGCCCCTCCCCCAATGAGCAGTGTTCCAGAACAGCTCCTCTTCTGCAAAAATAGAAGAGTTTGGTAGCCAAATGCCATGAAGCTATAAGTGCCTTTGCAGGGAGGAATCAAGCTTGATTTCTTTGCTACCTTCATTGGTTCGATCCCCAAACTGGATAGAAAAGCAAGGCCAAGTCTCTTTCTGTTCCCCCCCCCGAGCCCCGTCCCCCCACATACTGTAAATATAGTGTGGCTTCCCATTTGGGGAAAATGTTAAAGTGAGAGGATTCTAGTTGCATCGCTTTCTCTATTTAGGATGAAGGAATCCATAGTGCAGATGTTGCAACTCCTGGCAACGCAGGGAATGAGCCCTGTGAGAAAGAAGCCCCCAGGTGCCTGTCTGCCCAAGAGCCAGAGAGCCTCTCCCGTAGCGAAGGCCCCATCAGCAAGAAGCGGCGACGTCATCTGCGAGAGGAGAAAGAAGGGAGGATGCGTCGAGCAGCCCCAACATTGCTGCCCATGGACGATTTCCCTGTACAGGTACTGGGAACGTTTGATGGTCCTGCAATCTAAATCAACCTCCTGCCTATCCCCCCCCCCATCTGCCCTTTTGGCCACCGTACTCCATTGCCCCCTGCCTCTGCTGCCCCCACTACTTGGCACTCCCCACTGCTCCCAGCTGACCTTTGCTGTCTTCTTCCTCCTGCTGCTGACAAGATATGCCTGGCCAAGGCAGCTGCTGGCTGGGTGCAAGACCTCCACACAGTCTTTTCAGGGCCTCGTGCAGCTAGCAGCTGCCTCAAGAAGAGCCAGGTTGGCACATCCTGGCATTGGGGGGAAGATAGCAAAGGTCAGCTGGGGTGGCAGAGGTATCCAGACTTTAAGGCAGCCCAAAGGGTGGAGATGTGGGAAAGATAGATGGCTGGTGGAGTTGAAGCAGAGTCCAGCCCAACAGGGCAGAAGAAGCATGAGTTCTGGCCTATTGAGCACAACCAAGACTACTACTGGAACTGCCATTGGTATGCAGTGTGGTTGCATGATGTTTTGCCTAACAACTTTGCTTATTGATGGAAAATCCTGTCCCAATTTGGGTTGTTAAGCTGGGACTACCTGTATTGATATACTGTAGGCTACAATAACAGAACCTTGGAACCTTACAGTGTTTCACCTTCCCTCTCTGTTACGAATCAGAGCGAGGCAATCTTTAGTTTCTTTCTGACAATTACTTGTTTTTCCGGACTAAGTTCATCTTTTAAATAATGGTTACCACATATTTTCTCCTATCCATCAAATGATTGCATTATATGCTTATCCAGAAGTCACAGGAGTGAATGTTATCTAACATGAATTTAGATTAGATGTTTTTATTCCTTCCACCATGCTATCTATGGATTGTGATGAAGATAGAATGATAGACATTCACTCACACCCCAGAAACTGGGAAAAAGCTGCATTTCTGTTTTCCTTAAATTAGTAAACTTGGCCAAACTTAAAAAGCTATCCTAGTTCTGAATTGTGGGTGAGGGAAATCAAAATCTAGAAGTGGTTGATATCTTTATTAGAAACAATTAAAATGACACAGAAATACAGTATGTCAACTTATGCAAATATATAAAACCTGACTTATTTTAACTGCAGAGATTGATGACTCCTGCACAACTAATAATAAATTTTGGTTTTTGTGGCTGCAGATAAAATCTGAAGAGGATTTCCAGTGTGAACAGGATGATGTTCTCAGCTCTGCCTGGCAGCAGTCCAGTCCCCAGGACAAGTTGCTCCATTACTCAAAATTTCCTAGCCCTGGTGCCTGTTCTGATTTTGACTGAGGCTGGCCCCTTATCTAAGGAAAACATGTATATATATATGGTAGAAGAAGTGGTGATGGAGTTTAAGCAAGGGACAAAAGCTTGGAGTCAACGTGTAAGAATATTCAGTGGATTAGCTTAAGTCACCGAACTGAATCCACAATGGACTTAACTTGTGTACATAAACTTTGAATGGGGAAGCAAGAATTTGAGCAGAAACATTTCTACCCTTTCAAGATTGAGGAAGAACCCTTTTGAGAGGTCAGTGTTCAGCATTCCCACACTTGCCCTTCTGGACTCTGGATTTGTAATTCTGGTAGGTGAGGGAAAGGGGGAAAAGTGGTTCTTGTGCATTAGAAAGTGCACAGAAACAATCACTGTTGCGTTCTACAGTGGCATTTTCTGTGGATGTTGGTTGGAAAACCACGTGTTGAGGGAAGGCTGAGTTCTTTTAATCTTCCTTCAAGATTTTTAACAGGATCTCCATCTATGGCATCATGAGATCCAGCATGATTAAAAGGCCAATTGAAGTCTGTATTAAAGGAAGTAATTTCTGTGCTATTGACCTGCGTATTTATGCAAATTGCTTTATGTGTCAGTTTAAGAACTTAGCATATCTTTGCCAGTCCAGAAGAGAGCAAGAACTAGCACTCTTTTCCTGTCATTTCCTCTTCAAGGTAACATCCAAAAAGTACCAAGACTTTCCCGCTGGCCATACGGATTGGGAATTCCCCGCTCCCAATATACCCTCAAGTTAGGAATGATAATATTTGAACAAACCACAGCTGCAGTCTGCTTGCATTTTTGGATTTTGAAGAGTTACAGAAATATAACTTAGCAACCTTCAAGCTTATGGCTTCTACTTTGTGCAAGATTTGAATGATGCATATTAAACCAATTAAACTTGACAGTGTGCAGACTCTCATTATCAGTGCATCTTATGGTGTGCCTCCTTTAACCAAGATCTAAGGTATAAAAGAGCCAGTATGATGCAATGATTAAGGCAACAGGCTAGAATCGGGAGACCATGAGTTCTAGTCCTGTCTTAGGCACAAAGCCAGCTGGATGACATCAGTCGGTCACTCACTCTCAGCCCTAGGCAGGAGGCCACGGCAAACCTCTGCTCAAAAATATTTCCAAGAAAACTTCAGGGTCTTGTCCAGGCAATCACCAGGAGTCCAAACTGATGCAAAGGTGTGTACATGCATACATACATACAAGGGGGAGCTATGTAAAGCTGATGGGGTCATGAAAACCTGAAGTCCTTAGCTTGCAGAAGTCAGAATTAAAGTAGCTAACTTTATTTTTAAAAGCAGTTCTTTCCTAACATTATTCTAATTATTTAAGAGGGCAAATACTGTGCGTGTAGCAATGCAATATGACACAGATTGTGTTTAAAGGGAAAACTCCAGTTTCTGTAACCAAAACTGCAGTCATTCTGGATTGATAAACATATTCAGACAAGCCTTAAAAGCTCAGCACACTCTGTAAGATGGAGACAAGCACACACTTATGAACCAGTCTGCTTGGCTTAATACATTGCACAAATTGTGCCTGCAGTTTTTACTAGCACCTCTTGGCTCTACCAAGGAAAGTGAATAAGGCATATAAGCCACAATTAGCTGGGCCGCTATACCACATTAAATCATTGAACTGAGTTTAGAAATAACCGTTGCATTGATATATCATGCTATGTTGAAACCAAATAAATCATATTATGGCTTAGCATGTATAAACCCTGTCAAATTTTCCTCCAAGACTTTGGTTCAGTGTCCTGATTTAGAAGTGGGAGGTAGAAGGAAGGAATCCCTGTCAATAAACAATGGGGACTGAAATAACTACCTTTTTTTTTTTCCAAACAATTTTCTGACAGTGCATAGTCTGTCTTCTCTGTACCTCCCTTAAGGATTTTTTTTAATATTCCAGGTTCCCCCCCCCCCCCCCATCTAAATTTCCAACCACAGTGACAGAGAAGCTTTTAGATACAACAGGAAATTTATTGCCCCCGGGAACAACACACATATACAACCAAGGCACGGGAAACTTGTGGGGAGATCTGCCTCTTCAGTGGTAACTCTCACTCTGCTGGTTCTCATTTCTTCAGCCACTCAAGTCGTTCACCTTCCTTGTCACAGGGATGAGCGGGAATATCTGGCATATTACCATCATCTCGAACTGGGACTATGATGAAGAAAGGAAAAACATGAACATCAACCAAACAAGCATACTGTAAATGTCCAGCAGCAACACTTACAGAACTATATACTGCAAGGAAGGACACGGAGCACTTGATTCAATGCCTGGATTCTCATACTAAACCATATTGGTTTTGGCCTGGCATGGGGAACAAATCTTGCCTTTGTGCTCTGCTACCTGTGGGTAAATTAAGTATATTAATCTATTCAGACCTGATTTCATATCTAACATGCTAAGGCAAAATATAGCTTGTTTATTTGTAGCTAAGCATACAGGTAGTCCTTGATTTACAAGCATTTGTTTAGCGACTGTTTGAAATTACAATGGCGCTGAAAAAAGTGACAACAGTCCTTGCACTTATGACTGTCGCAGCATCTCTAAGCTACATGATCAAAACCTGGGCCCTTGGCAACTGGCATGGGTTTATGATTGTTGAAGCATCCCAGGGTCACGTGATCACAATCTGTGACCTTCCCAGCTGGCTCCCAACAAGCAAAGTCAATGGGGGAAACTCGATTCACTTAATGACCTAGTGTTCACTTAAAAACTGTGATGATTTGATTAATGACAATGGCAAAAAGGTCATAAAAATCAGGTGCAACTAACTTAATGGTTTCACTTAGAAATGAAAGTTTCAGGCCCAATTGTAAGTCAAGGACTATCTGTACAATAGAGCCCCAAATTTCTGTTATTAAATGACTCATTTGTTAAGTGAGTGTTGCCCCATTTTATGACCTTTCTTGCCACAATTGTTTTTTTTTTAACAAATTTTATTAATTTTTCAAATTTTAACAACCAGGAAATTAGGAAGCAGCGTGGTGATAGGGTGATCAATAATCCAATAACAGAGTGATACATAGATATCTCAGTTTACATCAATAAAGGTTCCCTCTCTATTTCCCTTAGGTATTATATCACATTCATATTAGTACATTTCTAGCTAAAGTTCAATCAATCTATACACTTATCAATAACATTTTAGTTATACATATCCAAGTCCTGTTTTTAGGTTTTATTTAATTCCAGTTATCATATTCCAATTTAGCCTTTTATAACCACTATTTATAATTTGGATAGGTTTAGTTTCCCTCATTTCATTATAAACTAATTCTCGTGACTAAAATACAAATATTATTCCAAAATTTAAATCCTTTCTTTATTCACCAATATATTCTATTTCTCATCCTAATAACTCCTCATATACTAATAACATATCTTTCATTATCACAAATGCTTCATTGTGCTTAGATGTAAATTTGGCTTTCGGCTGGTGCGACTTAATGAGCGGCCATGTTAATGGCCGCTCTTTTCTTCGGTCCTGAGGAGCTGCCTCAGATCAAACGGAGGGGCTCCCGCCCCTCCGCAATCTAGCAAGGGTCCTCCCCAACGGTGGTCGCCCCTCCAGGGCAACTTTCAACCCTTTCCAGGGTCTCCCGAAGAAGAAAAACTGGACGGCGGGGAGAGCATTCTCTCCGAGCATCCGCTGGCGCCGCGATCCGGAACCGGAAGCCATGCCACAATTGTTAAGTGAATCACTGCAGTTGATAAGTTAGTAACCTGGTTGTTAAGTGAATCTGGCTTCCCCATTGACTTTGCTTGTCAGAAGGTTGCAAAAGGGGATCACACGGCCCCGGGACACAGCAACAGTCATAAATATGAACTGGTTGCCAAGCATCTGAATTATGATCACACGTTCATGGGGATGCTGCAAAGGTCGTAACTGAAAAACAGTCATAAGTCAGATTTTTTAGTGCTGTTGTAACTTTGAGCAGTCACTAAACAAACTGTTGTAAGTTGAGGACCACCTATATTATGTAAGCACATCCACCACCCTTTGTAAAACATCCCATGGGTATTATGTTGATCCAGATAATTGTAGTTCATTTAATCTCTGGTTAAGTAAAAATCTGAATTCAGCATCATTGCATTAGATTTAATTCACTGACTTACCTACAACTGAATCAATACACTAAGCTATATCTTGTGGCTTATACACCATAAAGGTTGAGATGCCCAAATGTTATCAGAAAACTATCCGCTGCCAGCACAGAGAAACCTGAAAATAGTTTTCCCTCCATTTTTTTTTTTTCTGATGCCAATTCTCTGCCTGCCCAACCCAATAATAATTAAAGCAGAAAGAAAAATAGTCTAAATTGCTCTATAACATCCCATCCTTATGTCTCCCTTCACATACAGGCATTCCCTGGGTTAATCATGAGATCCATTCCTAAGTCTGTCTTTAACTCAAATTTGTACATAAGTCGGAACTTATGCTTACAGACAGGCTGTCTATTACTAAAAATGTTCTCCTTCCTTGAGCTGATGAAACGCTGAAGCCATGCAGTATTTTCATGAACCCTGAACACAGGCTGTATATTCATGAAAAAAGAATAACAGAGTTGGAAGGGACCTTGGAGGTCTTCTAGTCCAACCACTTGCTCAGACAGGAAACCATATTCCATTTCAGACAAATGGTTGTCCAATCTCCTCTTAAAAACTTCCAGTGTTGGAGCATTCACAGCTTCTGGAGGCAGGTTGTTCCACTGATTAATTGTTCTAACTGTCAGGAAATTTCTCGTTAGTTCTAGGTTGCTTCTCTCCTTGATTAGTTTCCATCCATTGTTTCTTGTCCTGCCTTCAGGTGCTTTGGAGAGTAGGTTGACTCCCTCTTCTTTGTGGCAACCCTTTAGATCACCGGTGTCAAACTCGCTGCGTCACGTGATGTGTCGTGACGTATCATGACTTTTTTCGCATTGCCGGAGCTGGGGTGGGCGTGGCCTCTGCATGATGCAACCGGCCCGTGGGCCAGCAGTTTGACACCCCTGCCTTAGATATTGGAATGCTACTATCATGTCATCTTTAGGTCCTTTTCATTAAAGTAGCCATACCCAATTCCAGCAACTGTTCTTCATAGTTTTAGCCTCCAGTCCCCTAATCATCTGTGCTGCTCTTCTCTGGATTCTTTCTAGAGTCTCAGCATCATTTTTACATTGTGGCGACCAAAGCTGGATGCAGTATTCCAAGTTTGGTCTTACCAAAGCATTATAAAATGGTATTAGCACTTCACGTGATCTTGATTCTATCCCTCTGTTACTGCAGCCTAAGACTCTGTTGGCTTTTTTGGCAGCTGTAGCACACTGCTGGCTCATATTTAAGTGATACCTATGAAAACTCTGTGTGGCTTCAGTGATTTATCAGCTCAAGAAGGTCATTTGCCATTTTTAGTAGCAGGCAGCCTGTTTCTAAGTATGAGTTGTCTGCAACTTGGACACTTTACATCGAGGGACTGCCTGTACCTTTCTCCCCAAAATGGTTCAGTCACATGCATCTGCGCAACATGTTACATATTAAAAATTGATGAAAATAATGTGCTGCTTCTTTGCTATCTCTAAAACTCCAAAACTGCTTTTAAAAACTAGAAATGTATATGTAGATGTACCTGGGTAGTGATATGGCATGTTCTCGTTCATTAATGTGGAATAATGGGCATAGGGGCTCACCCATGGCAATGTTACAGCTGAAAAAATGAAAACAAAGATGCATGCCAGAAAGGTGCCTACTCCCGTGTAGGGGGTCCCTTTAAGTGTTTCAACAACTTCCTCCACTCCCGTCCTCCAGGTGGGCGTAGCCCTTTCTATTCCCCCCCCCCCCCCCCCC